TAAATAAATCTTTTTAAAAAAAGTATAGCTAATAGAGGTTTGTGTGTGTATATCAAAAATGTTTTCATGCATTAGATATACCATGCTTTTAATAATAGGTGATTTAAGTGATACAGTTACATAAAATGTTTAATATACAAACTATGGTATTTAATTTTGGAAGTTGAGAATGTATTTTTGTAGATAGCAAAAAAACAAGGGAAAAACTGACTACTGTAGTTTATTTCTTTAAATCATTTTGAAACTATCGCTTAATTTCCAGATATTGAAGTATTCGATTCTGTGAAGATTCTGGTGACCAGGATAGTTTTCCTGTTTAAACTTCTAGGAATTAGTGAACATATAAGGAAAACCTGGACAAATAATTTTCTAATTTGTTTGATATCTAAATGTTTACTTTTTGAAGATTAAATCTGTTCTTCTAGGACCCACATGTTGACTGTTACACGATGACGTCTATCAGGAATAAACTTGGTTTGGATAGAGATGCTCTTGTGGGGCTGGCTGTACTACTGGGCTGTGACTACCTTCCAAAGGTACAGGCCATGTCATTCTGTCTCACATGCTACATAAGTATGAACATAGCAGGTGATTACAAATCTAGAACATAAGCTGACACTGGGTGTTATAAAGGAGAATAAACCACTAAGTAATACCACAGCTTGAGTCTCAGTAAACCGTTACTCCAGATGAAAAGATTCCCATTCAACTCTGATGTTTACTCCTTTCTTATATCATGCCAAAGGTAGTTCCTGTTACTCTTTTGTCTACTTTTTGGTTTCCAGTCTCCATTCTACCTTCCCAATTATGCATACCCTCAATATTATTCTTGTTGCTAGGCAACATTACTATTGACATAAGCCATTCATCTGTCCATGCCTCTTAGCATTGTATTAAGTTTTATTCATAAAAACCTTTTATTTATAGTAAAGATACACAAGATAGTACTTTAAACAAAAAGGTATTAGACATGTGATCAATTAGGACAGCCTATTTTCTTAAATATGACATTTAAAAGTATAAAATTACTTGTAGCTCTTACTATGTAATTTCATCATTATGTCCCTAATAATAATGTCTGTATCCTTCTGAATTCTTTATGTGATACACTATATTCTCAAAAGACATAGAAAGAATGATATACAATTGTCTTGAACCTCAATTTAGAAGGAAAAACAGGTTAGTAAAATTATTAACTGTAATTTCTATTTTATATCATGAGCGATCAGATAGAGAATTCAATTTTTAGTAAGAATAGGAAGCGAAAGGAAAAAAACTTATAAATAAAGGAAAAATTTAATGATTTTATTATAATTCTCATTCTGAAATAGAAGATACCCCTTTTTGCCATATAATTATATCAAAATTAAAGTCTCAACTTTAAAGTCCAATATTGAATTTAAGGAAAATTGCAAATTTTTTCAACTTCAGAAATCAGCATTAGTTACAGAGGTGATATATTATGCATTAATTTTGGTTATTTTGACGTTTTGTTCTCTTTGTAACCGAAATTGCTGTTTACATTGTTGTACTTACAGATTTGTTGAGATTCTGTACTAACATGCCTTGCCTTCAGAATTTTACATGTGTAGTTATATGCTAATATAAGAAGGATGATCTGTAAAATATTTAGCAAACAAAAGACACGGGCTGTAGAGATGGAACAGCATCCAGATGCCCTTTGCTGGGCCGTGGACTGCTCTTACTGTAGCTAGAGCCTGGCGTGGGAACAGGGTCAGGATAAAGGGGAGCCCTGTGCAGGCAGGTGTCTGGCGTGCTTGGCGGCGGCTCCTTGCTGCCTGGTTGAAAGTACTTCAATACTGATGTTTTATACAGGGATGTCTATGTTGAGGCATACAGGCTACATACCAACCATACATATAAAGATATAAAAATTAAAGTTTATGCATACACTTTTACAGGAAGAATACATTTAAGTTAGAAATCGTCATGTGAAAATTTATATATGTTGGGGAGGGTTGGAAATGTAAATGCTTGCTTTCATTTTTTTATGTTTTTATTTTCAGTAGTTAAAAGTGTCCTTTGTTCTCTTGCTCTCTGGGTCTTTAAATATTAAATTAAAGTGCACGTAATTAAGTGAAAATGCATTTTCCTGATTACAAATACAAGATTAGATCAAATTAAAATATTATCGAAGCAGAAAGTGAAGCCCTTTGAATCTATTTCTCCCTTCCCTAAAATCAGCTGTTATTGATTTGGTTTATAACCCCTCCGAATTTTTTGGGCATAGATTAACAATGTAATTATTGACTAACTTGTAAACTGTATATTACTATTCAGTTTTCTTGATATACTTAGAAGTATACATACACATCTTTTCCTATCACTACAAGAGTTAACTTCATTCTCCTGCCCAGTCTTTCAATGGACATGTCATTTTTATTTTTCTATTCCCTAGTGATTAATTTGAATTTCTCTTCCCATTTTCTGAAAGGGAGTCCCTGGAGTTGGAAAAGAGCAGGCGTTAAAACTTATACAAATTTTGAAAGGGCAAAGTTTACTTCAGAGGTAACTAAAATTTCCTTTTTCTGTGACATTGGACTTTTATTTTTGTTGAGCTTAACTGTGATAATTAAAAGGATTATACTTTCAAAAAAGAGTTTTGTATTTTTAAAGTAATCTTTATTTTCATTTAAAAATCACATACATATATATGTGTATATATATATGTGTGTGTGTATATATATATACTACCATATATAATAATATATATACTAAACCATACTTTTCCCCCCCCAATGTTGCTAGCTTACTACAAACACAAAATAGTAAGAAATGAAATGAGTTTATTTGTAGCCATGGACATTTGCCACAGGCTATTTTAAACTTTACCACCAATTAAAGATAAATATGGATCTTCAAGTTATTTTTATAAAAAGTACTTTGAGATTGTGTTTATTGTCTATAAATGAAGTGCCTGGCATGTTGCAAGTATTTAATAAGTAACACTCAGAACATTTCCTTGATCTTTGTTCTACAGCCAAAGGTTTCGTAACACATCATTTCTAATTCATTTAGATTGCTCAGTTTGAGGATTGAAGACATTTAAGATTCAGAATATATTGAAGTTTGAAAGTGTTTTGAAAGTATGTGAATTATACTTATTTGGTGATATTTACCTGTTTTACAAAAAATGGTGGTCAGTCAAAATGAATATTAATGATGATGTAGTATACAATGAATGAGAAGAAAGGTAGCTAGAAGCTGGGAAATTGAAGATAATCTTGGCTTCCAGTAGGCTAGAGGCGGTAACTGCCTGGGAGGAAACAACAGTGGTAGGAGGGAAGCAGGAAGGCCCATGAGACGTGACAGATCACTGTTCTTGCCTCAGATGCTTTTCTGTCAACTGTAAAACTATTGCTAGATTTAAGACTTCAGTAAATCCATTACTGAGGCCAGTGGTTAATATGTGAAAGCAGAAAGAAAGGGTTTACTTTCCCACAGGGATCAGTTAAGGAATCTTTTGGGAAATGTGGATGATAATATAAAGAAGGAAAAGCAAGTAAATGTATTAGTTGTCTAATTACACATCATTGGTTGTTTCAGCATGTATCTTTGACAACATTTATAAAATCTTAATGTTTGAATGAAATGAAATTGTTTCATATCTAAATGTGTCATTCTGATTTTTATTAACTTTTTAATTAATCCAGCAACAATTATTGCTAAATTTTAGCAAGCTCATATTTGGTCTTTTCACTAAATCAGTTAGAACTTCTGAAAGTTAAACAGTAACTCTTAATATGAGATACTGCACAGTGAACTGAAAAGGTAATTTAGCTTTTTGTTAGAACTTCTAAAAATAAAGGAACTTATTCAGAATGCTTGTGTTTTATGATAAATACTAGATGATCACCTTGATGGTTTTATGTCACCCTGAAACTTTAGTAAAAAATAAAGTTACCTTGTTTGGTAGAAATCACAGCAGTAATGTGCATTTTTCCTAAAAGCTTATAAAAAGGTAATATGTTGCTGTTTGCATAGAAGATAAGAAAAATCTTTTCAAGTGATCTGGAGTTTTTTTTTCCAACCAGTTTTTATCCAGACATTTAATATTATTTTAGTTTATGCTTTATCCTTCCTGATATAGAGGGATGTTCATTTATGGCTTTATATGAATATGTTTTATACTCTTAACACACAGAAAAAACATGCTGACAAATCATCCTCCTACCTCTTGCTCCCTAAATTAAGATTCTTTCTAATAAAGAAAAAGGCTGAATGAATATATAAATAATATATACAGACAGCCTCTTCTCACTACAACCATTGCGCCCCACTACCACCCCCCATTGTATTTCAGCTGTGTTTGGCACCACAGTTTTAAAATTGTACATGGATTGAGGATTTTCCCAAACTGGACCAGAAATCTATTACCAAAGGGAAAATAAATAAGCAGGTGGAAGGCCGCAGAATTGCCTGGCCCTTTGGTGACCTTATTTATTTTTCTTTATAACTATTTTCTTTTAAAGGTTTAATCAGTGGAATGAAAAATCTTGTTCCTCTAATCCACAACCACTAGTTGTTAAAAAACCAGCTCATTGCTCTGTGTGTTCCCATCCAGGTAAGCAGACATAGGGAATGTTATTCTAAAATAATAGTGTCTGATACCATTTTCATTCCTGTTTTCACATTAGTTCATCTTTTAAAGTAAATTCTTCTTTATTTGTGTTAATGTTTTCATTAACATTACTAAATTGTGGATGAGAGCATAAAAGGAAAAATATTTTTAGAGATAAGATCCCACTGTACTTTTTTGATATCTTAAAAATGACAATTTTAGTCAGTATCAACTATGTATGTTTTTTGTATTCCCAAGACAGTCTTGAAGATAGTCATGTTTTCCTTTAAAAAGTAAACAAGGCCCCACACTCATGCCAAAGTCAGAATTTGTTCAAGTTCCAAGAATAGTTTTAAAATAGCTCTATAGGTAATTGAGAGCTAGCCATTAGCAGAGGTAATTAACTGCTGTATTATTTTATATTCTCATTAAAGAAACCATTTCAAAAGTTACTCTGTTAACTAATCTTTTTATACTAATTTTACTTTTCTTGCATGCAACTATAACATAAACTACAAAGGTTTCCATTGTTGACTGTTATAAATTATAATTTCAAATTACAAATTTTCACACTTTTGGATAGAAGAGCAATTTATAAAAACTAGAAAATAGTATCTTTGGACTCTAATAGCTCAAGAACTTCTCTATCCTTGGACTTACTATTCTAATATCACTAGTCAATCTAAATGTATTGAGACTCTTCTGTAAGCTAGGCACTGTGCATTTTAATTTGAAAAAGGCCTAAAAATCATACTTTGTGTCTTCATCAAGGGTCACTTAAGGATCATGAACGAAATGGATGCAAACTGTGTGAAAGCGAGCGATACTGTGAGCCACATGACTATGAGTACCGCTGCTCCTGTGAGTGGCACCAGTCTGGGCGCGACGGGCAGCTGCATGCCATAGAGGACAGTGTTAGGACGTGAGTTTTACTTCAGTTTTTCCCTTGACATAGCTATTTATACACCCGTGTTTACATATAACTTTCCTCCGTGTCTACATTCATAACATTTCACAAAATCCTTTTCTCGATTCTGGTCAAAAGTTAGACTGTCTTTTGGGCTGATGATATTCAGCAGTTTAAAATGTCTTTGGATAAAATTAGTATGTTGCAAATGAAATTTTTTTTTAATTAGACTGTCTCAGTATAGAATAATTGAGTAATTATTTGAAGAGAAACTTGAGGGGGGTACTATTCAAAGATACTTTACATTAAATGAGAGATTGGATGAGAAGATTTCAGTTTTTCTGAAACTATTAATACATATATAATTTGTTTTCAGAAAAGCTTGCAGTTGTGAAGGATTCCCATTCCATGAGGTAATAAATAATAATTCAAATGTGTATTTATTTCAGAAAGTCTGTAAAAGTTTTAAGTCTTAATTTCTATTTTCTCTTTCTAGGTTATTCAAGAATTTCTCTTGAACAAGGATAAGTTGTTGAAGGTAATCAGGTACCAAAGACCTGATTTATTACTGTTTCAGGTATTTGAAAATAAATTCTTGCTTTACAGTATAAAATTCAGTACTTGGCAGATAAAGGATAATCATTTTGATTGGTCTGTGGGAAGATTTAAAACAGAGAGTTCATGTATTTTTCAGCAATAATTGTTAATCTTTGTTGGTTTGCCACACCGTGATCATAGTTTTCAGTCATAAAACAAATCCTAACTGTTGAATTTTTTAGAGACCTTAAGTACCATGGACCTATATTGTATGCAGGGATATGTTGGGGAAAAGGAACTTATAACCATAGACTATCAGGATGAAGTATGCTGTTAAGAAGGGCTGTATAATTTACAAGGAGATCAGGATAATCAGGACTGTCTGACCCTGAATATGTATGTGTCATTGCCAAAACTAAATATTATTTTTAAGTTACTGTGAAGATTAAATGAGATTATTAACCCCTAAAAAAATGAACAGGAAATCATTAAATTGTAACTGTTATCTCCAAAAACAGGAGCAATAATGGCAACCAACATTTATTGGACTTTTAAAATTTGCTATTATACTTAACATGTTACATGCTATCTTAGTGGATGATATTTTACAGACAGAAAACCCGAGGTTAAGAGGGTTTTATTTACATCTAGGAAATATACTGGCGTTTAAACCAGTATCTCTCACATTGAATCATTTTATTTTTATTTACAGAGATTTACTCTTGAAAAAATGGAGTGGCCCAATCCCTATGCATGTGAAAAATTGTTGGTACTTTTGACCCACTATGACATGATAGAAAGAAAACTTGGTAGAAGAAACTCTAGTCAACTGCGGCCAATTCGGTAATATGAAGAATTTTATGAAGAAATCTCTTTACATTTGACATCTTATCTCAAATATTCTTTATATATTTAATAGAGGGACATACAGTTATTTTATTTCCTTTTATAAAGGAAAACCATACTGGATTTTTAAAAGCTTATACAGACTATGGTTAAGATAACAGTAAATGCACACATTGACATACTTTTCTGCTTCAAACACATAGTAATACCAAATTACTAAGAGAAATAAATATAAAAAGACATAGTCATGCTAAACAGATGACCATTTCAATGGACCAGAAAAGACCAAAGTTGTAGAGTGAGCAAGAACTGAAACTGAAAACTGACTAATTTCAGTGACTGTATGTGAATTGCATCATAGGATACTTGAAACCTTTTTTAAGCTTTGAAATTGTCAAAACAAGAGGATAAATAACTTAGCAAAGACAGTCTGTGTACACATATCTTTCCTGATGGTAGTAGATGCCAGAAAGATAATGGAGTAATATCTTAGACTTTGTAAACATAATTGTAACCTAGACATTATTACATTACTATTCACTGGAAAGGCATTTTCAGACATACGAATACTAAGAATTTAACACTCGTAGGCCTTTATTAAAAGCATGGATAGGTCCTCCCTGGTGGCACAGCAGGTTAAAGCACAGTACTAAGAAGCTGAAGGCCATATTAGCATGAGTTCAATCCCCAGCCCCAGAGATGATCCACATGGTGTGGCAGACCTCTCCTGACTGGCCCACTGCTCCCCTCAGCAGTGTGCTTCACCTATCGGCCTGTTGTGCTCCCCACTCTGTCTCTGGTGAGTTCTCTTCTCACCAGCCCTGCACCTCTGGCCTGTACCCCAGTTCTGTATGCATAAATAAGTCTTACCAAAAAAAAAAAAAAAAAAAAAAGCATGGATAAAAGATATACATTAACAAGAGTAAAAATGAACCCACACAGAAGATGTGGATTACAAGAAACAGTAGTGACAGAAGTTAGTTGATCAGATATATTTAGCCAATTTAGTAAAATGACTGGAAAAATATAAATCTATACATAATGTTTAATGATTACTACATAATGGTGATAATTAAAACTCACAAAGTATACAGTTTTAGGCGTACCACTAAAATATTAAAAATACAACCTCTGACTTCCAAATCAATCCATAAAATAGGGAAATTGAACCATTATGCCAAAAGAATTCAGGAAGGAGAACAGAGGAAATAGCAAAGAAAAAGTTTGGTAACAGAAAGAACAAAGTAAGAAACACTGATGAATCCAATTACATATATATGTAATGACAATGGATTAAACTCATCTGTTAAAACAAATTATATTGAATGAGTAAACACAATTCAGCAGAATCACTTATAGAACATGCAGAGTAAAACTATCCAAAGCTGAAAAATAAGATTCAAAAGATTTACCAGTCAAATATTTAGTGATGTAACATAGCAAAATTAGCAGAAAAAAACCCATAGTTTTTATGACAGAAATCATTATGGAAGAGGAATACTGAACAGTGAACACTTCACTGTAGGGACTAAACATAAGCTCTGTACATCTAACAGTAAAATTACCTTTGTAATAAACTAATCAAAGCATTATGCAGTAATTCCTTGTAATACTTTTAGGGTATGATAAAAATAGAATAAAAGTGGAAATGGAATTATTCAGCCTGCAAATTGAAAATTCCAATAACATGCAGTTGGGTTTAATGAAATGAATTTATTTTTTTCAGGATCATTAAAACCCGAATCAGAAATGGTGTTCATTGCTTTGAAATAGAATGGGAAAAGCCTGGTATGTATGTGATGCTGCTGTCACTTCAAGTAACTTTTATGATATTTAACCCTACGTAGTTAGCGAATATGGTATACATATGTGAAAAGTATCTCCCTGTACCTAAGAAACAAGGGATAAACTTGTCACAGGCAGTGAGGTAAACTTCCTGTGTTACTGAAATAGGCTTTGACTAATAGTAAATATGAAAAGCTAAAGTAATTTTATGTTAATGCCTTATATCAGCTTTTTGGTTATTGTATTTAAGAAAATAATGTGGTAATAATTGAGATTTATATTTTTCAAGAAAATTCTGTTACAAATGAGTCAGTTGTTGGATTTCATTGAATAGCTGGGTTTCAGTAAATCAGTCACTAATAGCACCTGGGAATCTTGCACTCCTCTCTACTCACTTTAGTTTTCATGTGAATTGTGGGCAGATTTCTTTCGGGGACAATATCAAAGTAAAGTATGCTGCTGCAGACAAATATAGTGGACCCTGAATTAGTTCCAAAACTGAAGGCAAGAAAAGCACAGATCATTTTTAAAGAAAAATTATCTGAAATTTATTTTTTTTTAAAGATTTTATTTATTTATTCATATAGAACTGGGGTACAGGCCAGAGATGCGGAGGGTGAGAGGATTCACCAGGGACAGAGAGGGGAGCAGAACAGGCAGATGAATGAAGTCCACTGATGAGGGGAGCAGCGGGCGGGTCAGGAGAGGTCTGCCGCGTCATGTGGACTCCTCCGGGGCAGGCGGGGATCGAACTCATGCGGAAGTGGCTTAAGCTTTGTAGTGCAGTGCTTTAACCCCATGCGCCACCAGGGAGGGCCTGAAATTTATTTTTATTTGGCTTTGAAGTTAGATTGTGATTATGTTTTGAGTAAGTGTAAACTTGATCAGTGAAAAGAGGGAATTTTGAAGAATGAAATTTTGAAGATTTAAATAAACCATTCTAAGCAAGAACAGGGAAATAGAAGACAGAAGAATTTTGAAAGCTGATTTGGACGGTTCTACCAGCTGGAAAGAAACAGGGGTGAGCCAGGTGGGCAGCACATCGCCTCCACAGAGCTGAGGGTTAGGCGCCCACACGCACAGGTCCTCGGGAGAGCTGTCCCTGAAGGAGAAGTGTAGCCAAAGCTCCTTTATCTTAACTAAGAAACAATTGAAGTTCATCTCTTCTCATTGCTTCTGCTTTAAGTTCATCAACTAATGCATTCACGTTGATCTGATTTCTTATACAGTTTTGCTATCATAGAATAAAGATAAGAATCTAGTTTACTATTTACCTATCTCACTGCTATGTACGTAATAGACTCATTCTCATTTTCACCAGCTGTGAGTGAGTCAGGTAAACCTGCGTGTATCTTCAAAACATGCGTAACCTCTGAAATAGCTCTCTGGTAAGTGGTAATTTTTTTGACAATCCTATAAAAGAAAGCCAATGTTGAAACTGTCTAGTCCCATTCTCAATCTGGAATTTTAATACTTACCAGACTAAATTAAAAACAACTAGCTTTATCAAAGTTTTCTTTCTTTTAAAGCTACTCCTACTATCTCTGAAGGAAGACAATTTAAAGTTCTTATTTAAAAGGAACCTCCTTCCAGTTCTTTCCAGCCAGGTAGAAGAAAATCAATTCTGTACTAGTATCAATAGATTATTAGAAAAGAGGTCTTTAAAGCAAGATTTGTAGTGACATATTCATTACTTAATTTACCTGGTAAACTTAGTTACTTCAAAAAATTGAGTTTTTCTTGATGTAATGAAAGTTTTTTTTTGTTGTGGTTGTTGTTTGCTTTTTTTTAAATCTTTTAGAACACTATGCTACAGAAGAGAAACACGAGGGGCTGGTTGTACAAACAATAGAAGAAGAATCACTGTTTGAGGCAGCTTATCCCGAGGTTGTTGCTATATACAAAAAGCAGAAGTTAGAAATTAAAAAAGAGAAGAAACAAAAAGGTAATTGTCAAATTTTATGGCTACTTATGTCACACAGAGTGTTATATTAAAATCATCTACTAAAAGTTCTGTAACTGCAAGAGTAAGGACTGTACTCAGCTTCGTTTTAACATACATTCTTTTAACGCTAAAAAGCCAAGAGTAAACTAATCTGTTCACCTTTACAAAATACCGTCCCAGTCACTTACTAGTATATAAAGTGTTTTGGGTTCTAGATACTTTTTATTTCTTTTTTTTTTTTTTTAAAGATTTGTTTATCTATGCATACAGACCTGGGGTACAGGCCAGAGGTGCAGGGGCGGTGAGAGGGTTCACCAGAGACAGTGGGGAGCAGAACAGACAGATTGACAAAGTACATGGCTGAGGGAAAGGAGCAGTAGGGAGACAGAAGATTGCTGCACCATGTGAGTCACCTCCAGGGCTGGGGATCGAACTCATGCTGCAGTGGCTGTGGATAGCTTCATAGTGCTGTGCTTTAACCTGTTGCACCAGCAGGGAGGGCCTCGATACTTTTTATTTTCTAGAATTCTATTTCATAGTATTTTGCTTTACATCACAGGAGTGCAGTGAGACAAAAAAAGACATAAATTGTTCATATAAAAGGCTTCCAGTCTGAACTATTCAATGTGTTTACTCAAGTTAAGGAAAAGTTTTTACTTACATTGCATTTTGTTCCTTTTCAGCCTTGAAAGTTAAACCTAAAGAAAACAGTGTTCCAGAACCAGACTATATGATGAATTTTCAGTCACGCCTGGGTTTAAAGCCTTCCTGTGGGATCATTTCTAATCAGAATTCCAATTTAAATTTGGAGGTTTCTGATTCATTGCCCCTGGGACCTGTTTCTTTGCCACTGAATAATTTGCTCTCACCTGAAGACACTCCCTGCTTGAATCCACAAGAACAATTAAAGTCTTCCCTCAAACCTTTTGCCCTGCAACAAGTTAAGAACAGGTGTAAGTATCTAAGTTCAGATTCTGAACAACCGAATACTTCCACCTGTAATGTATCGGCAGTTGCTGACTTACACTTGAGCACCATTGACTGGGAAGGTACTTCTTTTAGTAATTCTCCAGTTATTCCAAGGAACACTTTCTCTCCTGGTTTAAAATCAGAACTTGAAACAGCCATCTCGGAGGGCTTTAAAAATAACTCAGAACTATTGTCATCTGAATCAAAACTGAGCAGAACACACAGCGATGAAGTAGTGCAGTGGACTCTTCAAAAGACTGATCCCGAAGAGCATCTCCTTTCTGGCATTACTGACTTACATCTTCAGGACTTACCGTTAAAGGAACGAGTCCATATCAAATCATCTCATGTTCAGGATTATGTTCAGTCAAATGCCAACATGAAAGCTCTGTCCCTACTCAAAGTAAAAGAACCTTGCACTACTTCCAGCTGTTCTGATAGTCATCTTTCAAAAGCTCTTCTAGGAACTCACTTGCAAAAAGAATCTAGAAACTCAAACGTTCTCAAAGGTGACCAGCTATTTCAAGAAAAGTATAACGTGAATACTTCTATACCTTATTCTGTCGATAACCCAATAGTGGAAACCTCCCATGATAGATTTGAACCAGCAAGTACTGCTTTAGATCACAGTAGAGAAATTGGCATGCCAACTGCTCAGAAAAGCGTCACAAAGGAGAGTGTTTGCCTCGACAGGCAGTCTTCTGATGAAGAAAGTATCCCAGTGTTTGGGAAAACTAAGTACAAGACTCAAAAAATGAAGCAGAGTTCTCAGAAGCATAACCTAGCCAGGTTCAAAAGCAGTAATGGCAACAAATTGAATTGTCCTAAGATACCTATCAAAGATGCTGAACAGTGTGTCCAGGCTTACAGAACATCTGAAGATCCAAATGGTTTCCCAGAAGCATCAAAACCATCCTTAAGTTCTCTACAGTGTCATAAGGAAAAATATGATACGTGTTTAGATAGTCCTCTTCCTTTATGTCAGAGACTAAAACTGAAGTTCCTAAACACTTGAAATTCAAAAAAAGAAGTTCAGGTAAAACTTAAGTGTTCTAATACTCAGCATGAGCAAAGTCAGAAGGAAGGTGCCTAGTTACTGTTTAATAGAAAGATTTATTGTGGTTCTGTGCATTCTGAACCTTTAAATGATTGAGACTTACCATTTTAATCAAAATTGTAAAAAAGCTATTACCTAAAACTTCAATTTTAAAAGATAGCTTTGTGGGGAAAACTTCAGATAATGTATATTTTTAAAAACATGAATTTGCCATTTTATCTTTATTGATTATTCTTTAGTTTACCTTTAAAAGTGTTGGTACAGTGTTAGACAGAGTAAATAATTCATCAATTTGTTCTTTTTCTTTTTTTTTTTAAAGATTTATTTATTTATGCATACAGAACTGGGGTATAAGCCAGAGATGCAGGGGCAGTGTGAGGAGTAACCAGAGACAGCAGAGAGCAGAGCAGACAGATCAATGAAGTCCACTGCTGAGGGAAGCAGCAGACACAGGCCTGCCGCACCATGTGGGTCACCTCCGGGGCAGGGATCGAACATGCACTGAAGTGGCCACTGCCAGCTTCACAGTGCTGTGCTCCAATCCTCTGCACCACCAGGGAGGGTCCAGTTTGTTCATTTTAACTCATTTCTTCTACAATCTTCTAAAGTATTCACAGTCCAGCTTGTTCCTAAAAGGATAACTCTTAGAATTGCCTAAATTCTCATCACACATCTATTTTCCCTTGAATTATATTTTCTGTCAATGCAAAGACTTTTTTTTAAGATTTATTTATTTATTCATACAGAACTGGGGTACAGGCCAGAGGCTCAGGGGCGGTGAGAGGCTTCACCAGAGACAGAGTGGGGAACAGAACAGGCAGATGGACGAAGTACACTGCTGAGGGGAGCAGCGGGCGGGCCAGGAGAGGTCTGGCTCGCCATGTGGTCTCCTCCGGGGCAGGCGGCAGGCGGGAATCGAACTCATGCGGAAGTGGCTTCAGATTCTCAGTGCTGCGCTTTAACCCGCTGCGCCACCAGGGAGGGCCGCAAAGACTTTTTTTAGAATGTTCTACCAGTTGGGGTAACTTACTCTTTTTTGTGAGGGGCAAAAATGGAAAAGGCAGAATATGATCAATATAGTAAAAATCTTGGCTATAATGGTTGAGTTGAAGAAAGCTTCTTTTTACATAGCCAAACAAGACCTGGAAAATAGAATGTATAAAAGAGAGTAGAAACTTGTTGAGAATCACACAGTTAATTGACTATGGTGTGAGGACCAGATTTCTTGCCTCTTAATTAATCGGTTGTTCTATTTTTTTGTTTGTTTTAATCTAGCACTTCTTTTTTGTTTTTAGCATGAGTCTTTTAGAATATTGACTTCCGTATCCTCCAGATATTAAATCATACATTTTTTTAGCACTCAAATATTCTAGAGGCAACCAATTTGGAAATGAAAAGTAAAATTGTGTATGTGCAATTTTATATTTTATATTGCAGATGATAAGATTTTGTATATGAAAAATTATAACTATTAGAATTGATAAATTCTCGCTGAACTCAAGGTCAGTATACAAATGTCAGTTGTATTTCTATATACCTGCAGTGAATAATATACTAAATGAAGTTAAGAAAATGATTTCATTTCTAACAAAATAAAAAGTAAAATACTTTGGAATACACTTAACAAATGTGTTCAAGTTATACTCTGAAATCTACAAAATATTGTTGAAAGAAAAGTAATAAATGGAGAGACATCCCATGGAATATACATGTATCAAAAGACTTGATGTTAGCATGGCAACACCCCAAACCATTCTACACTTCCAATGCAGTCTCCATCCATTCCCACTGATATCTTTGTACTGACAAGGGGATTCAGCAATTCATATGTAGATCTAAGGAATACAATAGCAAAACTATTTTGAGGGAATAAAGAAGTAGGAGGACTCTGATTTCAAAACTTACCACAAAAAAAAAATACATTAATGAGAGTTGTGGCATAAGAGGTAGACATGTAGGTCTATGAGGTAATGCTGAGAGTCTAGAAATATGCCCTCCTCTTTACATCCCATTGATCTTTGACTGTATTGCTATGATAACTCAATGGCGGAGGGAGGTGGGGGCCAGTAAACTTTCAGCAAATGGCAATGATAGAAGCTGCTATCCATGAGCAAAAGAGTAAAATTTGAACTGTACCTCACACAATATTCAAAAATTAACTCAAAATGGGTCAAAGACCTAAATGTAAACAAACTCCTAGAAAAAAATACAGACAAAAACCTTTGTGACTTTGGGGTAGAAAAGCGTTTCTTAGGACACAAAAAGCACATTCAACAACAACAAAGATAAATTATACTCCTCAAAACTAAAAAGCTTGTGTCTCAGAGGGTGTCATCAAGAAGACAGCCCACAAAATGGGAGGAAAATATTTACAGATCAAAAATGTAGTCAAGGACTTGTATCTAGAATTTGTATAAAGAACTCTTACTACTCCATAATGGAATGATATAACTTAAGTGTGGATGAACTACTAGATAAATTTTCTCCAGAGAACAGAGACCACCAGTCAATAAACACATGAAAACATTTCTCAACATCATTGGTTACCAGAAAAGTGTAAGTCAAAACTTCAGAGGGAGGCGCTTCATACCCAACAGAATGGCTAGACTCAAAACGGCAGATTATAGACTGCATTGGTGAAAAATGAGAAACCGCAACCCTGGGGATTCTGCTAGGAGGAATGCAAAATGGGGCTAATGCTTTGGGGAGTCTGCTGGTTCTTTCAATGGTTAAACAGTTACATGAGCCAGGAAACCCACCCCAGGCATATATCTGAAAGCAATGACATGTGCACAGGAAGCTTGTTACATACTGTCCACAGCAGCCTTCCGCATAAAAGCCCTGAAGTGGAAACCACCCAAATACCCACCGACTGATGAGTGGATAAAAGGTGTCAATACGATGGGATCTCGCAGAGGACTGAGGCACTGATGGAGTTCCAAAGGTGCCTTTTCCAAGGGAAAAGGAGGCCGGTTCAAACAGACCCTCTGTATCCTTCAGTTTGTGCGGAATGCCACAGGTGGCAAATACATACACTCTGTAGAGGCTGAAGGTGGACTCATGGTTTCCAGGGGTGGAGAGGGGAAAAGAAAGGCAGTTGAGGGAGAAGGAAATGACTTAATTGGGTGATTTTTGTTTGAGGGTGGGGAGCAGATGGTGAAAATATTCTGAAGTTGGTCATGGTGATTACTTGCAAAACTCAATATACCATAGGCATTTGTGAAATTTAGAAACATTATGCTATGTAAATTAGGTTACAGTAAGGCTTTTTAATAAAGATTGTGCAGAATTTTACCAGCCCAAACTTTTTAAAATCTGAAGAGTGTAACTTCCAACATAGGCACTACTGTCATTATTTTATTGATGAGAAAATGAGATTTTTCTTAAGATTGGAAAGGAAATTTTGGTCTGCTAATTTTTACGTCATGCCAAATGGAGTATGTTTAAATTTTTCTGTTTATTTTTAATTCTAAAGATACACAAAATGCATTTCGTTTTACAAAAATGTGCCTGCAGAGCAAAAAAAAAAAAAAAAATTGAGCAAGTGGAATCCTAAATAAAGATAATCTGTTGTTGGGGAACTTACCTATTGTAATGAAATGATACTTTTTTTTTTTAAATCAGTAACAACTTGCAAAAATGTTATTTACAGGTAATACATTTGTGTGGTTAATGAAAAAGCTGAAATTGTCCAAAGACTAAAGGGAAAAGACTCTCCTATCCTTAATGCTCAGGCTTCAATGCTTGGCTAAACAGGCAAACAATTTTCAGTTTGTGAATCCTTCCAGAGAAGTCATGTACCAGTATATTCATGTATCCTAAGTATTTTCCACTTCAGTAAATATGGTCTGTCTTTAATGGTTTCCGTATTCCTGCATGTGTATCTTTGCACAGATGCCAGAAAGTTTCTTGTGTACTAGATGTATTTGATTTTTGCTATGGATAAGTGTATACCAGGTGAAGTATTTTTGATTCTATAAGAACGACGTGACTGAAAGTCAGATAAACTAAAGGATTTGAGTGGCTCTTAATTCATCTTTGACTTTGCTGTAAGTTTTCTCTTTAAGAATTTTCCCAAATGTTAACAGTTTAAAACTGAACTGAATATTTGAAAATTTGTTCACTGAACATATGAAAATAATAAATTGACTCTGAAAACCAGGTGTTAGAAACATTTGACAAAATGGTTGCCATGAGAGGCATTTCCGTATGAAATCACACAATTTAGGGTTTGGCCAGTTCTGAGTAGGCACACACATTTTTAAGATCTCAACTATAAATGACCATTTTTTATTTTTAAAAATTTGTTTATTTATGCATACAGAGCTGGGCGACAGGCCAGAGGTTCAGGGGTAATGAGAGGATTCACCCAAGACAGTGGGGAGCAGAGCAGGCAGATGATACTGAAATGCATTGTTGAGGGGAGCAGTGGGCAGGTCAGGAAAGGTCTGCTGCGCCATGTGGTCACCTCCAGAGCGGGGATCGAACTCATGCTGAAGTGGCTTTAGCTTAGTGCTGGGCCTTAACCTGCTGTGCCACCAGGGAGGGCTCTAAATGACCATTTAATATTGATTCTGTTGGTTTTTTTTTTTTTTTTTTTGCCCTCCAGGGAATTATGCTTTTGACATCATTTGGACCTGACTGCACATATAGATATGTGTATAGCTCTCTAAATTCTGAGCTTAGAATTATCCAAAGGAGAGATCACAATACTTTTTATGAAAGTGGTGGGTGAAACGTTACTTTGAAGTAATTGCTTTTGTTTTGAACTGCTCACCTGATCATACACTGAATGATTCTGACTTGTGTTCTCAAAAATATAACTAAAAACTCAACTTATTTTAAGTTCACCACCTTTTTCTTATTGAGATGTGATTTACATAAAATCTGCTCACTTTCAGTGGCAATCCTCTAAATGGGGCTATGATGCTCCTCCCTCTTGGCCGTGCATTTTGGGA